GGAGGAGGTGAAAAAACCTTCCCATTGTCTCAGGAATTAGGTAATTGCCATCTCAAAGGAATGGCCAGACTACCAGGAAAAACAACAACTTTCAAATTTCTGTTGTAGACCATCTTTTCTGTGATGTAGGTATGATATTTGTGGGGGGTGGTCTTGGGCTACACCCCTTCTGTGATGTATGTATGGAGGGGTGGTCTGGAGCTCCAGGGCAGGGAATTTCAAAATGGATATATAAGGCCTTGCGTGCCATTGTTTGGGGTCCTCCTCCTCTCTCCTGCGTGTGGGAGAGCACCCTGTGGCAACAGTCAATAAAGATCAGGCTTACTAGCTGCTTTGCTTCTCAATATTCTCTGGTTGGTCTGTTATTTTTCTGTTATTTACCGATAGGATAGGACTCTACAAAAGGACTCTATATGGGCTCTTGGGTATTCCACAAGGGAAAAGGAGCAGTGTTTGTTTTTTACTTATATCACCCACTTCACTGTACATCATTTTCTGTTCTTGCTTTGTTTTTGTCACTTAAAAGTTAAAGGCTATGGTTTGATCTCAGCAAGACAGTCAACATGATGAAAAGCACGTGCCTTTTGGGAAAACACAAGACCTTATGTTTACTTCCCTGTAAAGTTTCAAACACTTGTCCTCACCCCCAAAGTCTTTTTTGAGCCCACAGACTTAATATACACATTTTTCAGTTTCTTTTGTTAATCTCATATCAAAAGACTTTCACCTCCACCCCTCCATAGTTACTTATTTATTCATTTTTTGCTGCATATCCTTTTAATGCCACCCAAATCATTCTATACATTTACCACACTCTTTTAAACTGCTGCTCATATTTCTAACCCTACTTGGAAATTTGTTTGTTGTATCTTTTTAAATAATTGTCAAAAAGTCCCCACTCTACCCATATCCTTCTGTCATCTTGGACCCTTAACCTTGCTGTCATCTTTGCAAGTACTGCATAATCGATCAATTTATATTGCCATTCTTCTTTCTTTGGATTTTTTTTTGGTTCTTCCATTTCTGAGCATATAACATCCTGTCCACTGTGGTAGCATAAAGGAAGAGGCTAAGTGTCTTTTTAGGGATATCTCCATTAGTTATGCTTAGTTAAAAAAAAACCTCCAGTTTTTTGGCGGTCAGCCTTAGCATCTTTTAAAAATTCTGTATAGATCATTTTGCAATACTCTTTAGCCTGTTTACATGACCACCACATATGAATGAAGATCCCCTCTGTCTCTTGGTATTTCCAACATAATTTTGATCCTTTTTTGTACATTTTCATTACTTTAAAAGTAAAGGTAAAGGGACCCCTGACCATTTGGTTCACTCGTGGCCGACTCTGGGGTTGCAACGCTCATCTCGCTTTATTGGCCGAGGGAGCCGGCATACAGCTTCCAGATTATGTGGCCAGCAGAACTAAGCTGCTTCTGGCGAACCAGAGCAGCGCACAGAAATGCCATTTACCTTCCTGCTGGAGCGGTACCTATTTATCTACTTGCCTTTTGATGTGCTTTCGAACTGCTAGGTTGACAGGAGCAGGGACCGAGCAACGGGAGCTCACCCCGTCGCGGGGATTCGAACCGCCAACCTTCTGATGGGCAAGTCCTAGACTCTGTGGTTTAACCCACAGCACCACCCGCGTCCCCTTTCACTAAATTACTAGGGGTCAAATACAATCTACAAATCATTTTTTTTGGGGGGGGGCATATTTTCCTTTAGAATATAGCATGCCAAGAAGTTCAGTGTTGTTTTCCATGGTATCTCCCACACTTCTATTTCTATATTATGGCCAGTGTCTATCATTCAATGTGTCATAGTTACCGTATTTTTTGCACCATAACACTCACTTTTTTCCTCCTAAAAAGTAAGGGGAAATGTCTGTGCGTGTTATGGAGGGAATGCCTACAGGTGGCATGCCTACGGATTTTCCTCCTCTAAAAAATACGTGCGTGTTATGGTCAGGTGCGTGTTATAGAGCGAAAAATACGGTACCTTTATCATCTCATCCATTGTCTCCCATTCTAGCAATATTTTGTAATTTCTGCAAATTAATTTTTCATTCCTTTCTACTTTTTCAGATTCTGAACCTTCTTCAGAGAATCCTTTTTCTTTTTTAAATTTCTCAATCAATTGGTGATATTGGAATCAGTCTGTAATCCATTATTAGATATTTTAATTTAGCTTTTCCTTCTTCAAATTCTATAATTTCTTGATAGTGTGCAGCAGGTCCCCACCCCCCTATTTTTCTCCTTTACTAATACCGCTTCAATGGGTGATAGCCATCTTGGAGTTTTTTCCTCAAGATCTTTGTTTCTCATCCAAACTAGGTAAAATCTTTTTCTGCTCACATGGCTTAAGAACTTGAGTGCTCCAATTGGTATTTACCAAAGGTGTCATGGACTTTGAAGACACTTGAACAGATCGCTGAAAAAGATGTACTATAGCTTTATTGTAACACAGGTATGTGTGCCATCCAAACTGCAGGTAGAACCAGTCTAAGTCTAATAGATTATTATTTTTAAATTCCATCCAGTCCTTCAACCTGCAGCAACATGCTGCCTTGTAATAGAAGTAAAGGTCGGTAGAGCAAAACCACCACTTTCCTTCACATCCATTAGAATACATGGTTTCTTCCCTTGCCAGATAAATTTCATTATGTCTTTCTTCCAGTGTTTGAAACAATTTACTTATCACCAGTAATGTTTGGAATGAGAACACCATTTCGGGAAGAATATTCATCTTAACCACTAAAATTATTGTAGACAGATATTCTTGGTTCCGTGTTGGTCAAAATGCTCCATCACTACAGATAGTAGTAATGCTGTACACTCAAAGACTAGGAGATGAGGCTACCTGATGCATAGCCATCCCCTATGCTGAACCAGACGACTACAATAATTGGTGAATAGGACTCTTGTCTAGGAGCAAACTGCAAGTATGTAGAATAAAGTGATAAGATGTCTCAGGGCTGCCTTTTTGTTTTGGTTTGTGGATAAAAAATACTTTGGGGATGAGCGGGTTAAACACATGTTTAGAAGTTTATAGAACTTTAGTAAATAACTTCTAGGGGCAGAGTTGGAGCAGGGAAATGGGGCAAAGGTGATGCACCCATTCCTTGCCACATCTCCATTTGCAATCACTCCACTTCTGAAGCAGCTTTTTATCCAAAAGAGGGACCAGAAGGCCTGTGCATAAGTATGCATAAATCTGAAGTTATGATATGGTTTATCTCTGTAGATCGTGGCATGGGTATAAGATTGACATAACAGACCCTCCATGATGAACTTTGGTGACCCTGGAACTTCCAGCTTCCTGAAAGGCATTTGGGCATATCCCACATTTGGGCATACCCACATCTGACCTAAAGATTAACATGTTGTTGTTGTTTAGTCGTTTAGTCGTGTCCGACTCTTCGTGACCCCATGGACCAGAGCACGCCAGGCACTTCTGTCTTCCACTGCCTCCCACAGTTTGGTCAAACTCATGCTGGTAGCTTCACGAACACTATCCAACCATCTCGTCCTCTGTCGTCCCCTTCTCCTTGTGCCCTCTATCTTTCCCGACATCAGGGTCTTTTCCAGGGAGTCTTCTCTTCTCATGAGGTGGCCAAAGTATTGGAGCCTCAGCTTCATGATCTGTCCTTCCAGTGAGCACTCAGGGCTGATTTCCTTAAGAATGGATACGTTTGATCTTCTTGCAGTCCATGGGACTCTCAAGAGTCTCCTCCAGCACCATAATTCAAAAGCATCAATTCTTTGGCAATCAGCCTTCTTTATGGTCCAGCTCTCACTTTCATACATCACTACTGGGAAAACCATAGCTTTAACTATACGGCTCTTTGTTGACGAGGTGATGTCTCTACTTTTTAAGATGCTGTCTAGTTTTGTCATTGCTTTTCTCCCAAAAAGAAGGCGTATTTTAATTTCGTGGCTGCTGTCACCATCTGCAGTGATCATGGAGCCCAAGAAGGTAAAATCTCTCACTGCCTCCATTTCCCCCCTTCTATTTGCCAGGAGGTGATGGGACCAGTTGCCATGATCTTCGTTTTTTTGATGTTGAGCTTCAGACCATATTTTGTGCTCTCCTCTTTCACCCTCATTAAAAGGTTCTTTAATTCCTCCTCACTTTCTCCCATCAAGGTTGTGTCATCTGCATATCTGAGGTTGTTGATATTTCTTCCGGCAATCTTAATTCCGGCTTGGGATTCATCCAGCCCAGCCTTTCGCATGATGAATTCTGCATATAAGTTAAATAAGCAGGGAGACAATATACAGCCTTGTCGTACTCCTTTCCCAATTTTGAACCAATCAGTTGTTCCATCTCCAGTTCTAACTCTTGTCCCACATAGAGATTTCTCAGGAGACAGATGAGGTGATCAGGCAGTCCCATTTCTTGAAGAACTTGCCATAGTTTGCTTTGGTCGACACAGTCAAAGGCTTTTGCATAGTCAATGAAGCAGAAGTAGATGTCTTTCTGGAACTCTCTAGCTTTCTCCATAATCCAGCGCATGTTTGCAATTTGGTCTCTGGTTCCTCTGCCTCTTCTAAATCCAGCTTGCACTTCTGGGAGTTGCACTTCAGTCCACATACTGCTTGTGCCTTCCTTGTAGAATTTTAAGCATAACCTTGCTAGCATGTGAAATGAGTGCAATTGTGTGGTAGTTGGAGCATTCTTTGGTACTGCCATTCTTTGGGAATGGGATGTAGACTGATCTTCTCCAATCCTCTGGCCACTGCTGAGTTTTCCAAACTTGCTGGCATATTGAGTGTAGCACCTTAACAGCATAATCTTTTAAAATTTTAAATACCGAATTTTTTGCTCAATAACACTCACTTTTTTCCTCCTAGAAAGTAAGGGGAAATGTCTGTGCGTGTTATGGAGCGAATGCCTACGGATGGCGGGGGGATCTGCTGCAGTCATGAGCAGAGGATCCATGGTTCCCTTTCCTTCCCTCCTCCATGGCTCTCTTTGAAACAGCAAAGCGGGAGAAGAGCTGCTGAGTGGGGAGGAGAGAGGGACAGAAAGCCTGCTTGCTTTAAAGGAGCAAAGCAGGAGAGGAGCCGCTTACACTTGTTAAAGGAGCCGGTTGGCTCCTTTAAAGCAAGCAGGCTCTCTGTCCCTCTCTCCTCCCCACTCAGATGGCTAAATAGCAGCAAAGTTTTTCAGCGAGCCGGGAAGGAGGGAGAGAAGCAGAGCCTGCTTGCTTCTCCTCTTATACCCCTCTTCTGCATTATTAGCAGCATCCTTCTCCACCCACCCCATGCATGCTCCTTGTCCCTTGAGTGCTTTTCCTTCCCTCCCCACTTAAAACGTGGTTACAAAGCACGGATCCACATGGATCCTCAGGATTTTTGCACTGGGTCACCCCAAACTCACCATCAGATCACATGTCTGTGGCCACAGCATAAACCACAAAAATCATACATCCACTGTTTCGTTCAGAATATTTTTTTTCTTGTTTTCCTCCACTAAAAACTATGTGCGTGTTATGGTCGGGTGCGTGTTATAGAGCGAAAAATACGGTAATTCAGCTGGAATACCATCATTTCCACTGGCCTTGTTATTTACAGTGCTTTCTAAGGCCCATTTGACTTCACTCTCCAGGATGTCTGGCTCAAGGTCAGCAACCACACTACCTGGGGTGTACGAGCCACCCATATCTTTCTGGTATAATTCCTCTGTGTATTCTTGCCACCTCTTCTTGATGTCTTCTGCTTCTGTTAGGTCCTTACCACTTTTGTCCTTTATTATGGTAATCTTTGTACGAAATGTTCCTTTCATATCTCCAATTTTCTTGAACAGATCTCTGGTTCTTCCCATTCTGTTGTTTTCCTCTATTTCTTTGCATTGCTCGTTTAAGAAGGCCTTCTTGTCTCTCCTTGCTATATTTTGGAAATCTGAATTCAATTTCCTGTATCTTTCACTATCTCCCTCGCATTTTGCTTGCCTTCTCTCCCCCGCTATTTGTAAGGCCTCGTTGGACAGCCACTTTGCTTTCTTGCATTTCCTTTTCATTGGGATGGTTTTCATTGCTGCCTCCTGTATAATGTTGTGAGCGTCCATTCATAGTTCTTCAGGTACTCTGTCCACCAAATCTAAATCCTTAAACCTGTTCCTCACTTTCACTGTGTATTCATAAGGGATTTGATTTAGATTGTATCTTACCGGCCCAGTGGTTTTTCCTACTTTCTTCAGTTTAAGCTTGAATTTTGCTATAAGAAGCTGATGATCTGAGCCACAGTCAGCTCCAGGTCTTGTTTTTGCTGACTGTATAGACCTTCTCCATCTTTGGCTGCAGAGAATATAATCAATCTGATTTCGATGCTGCCCATCTGGTGATGTCCATATGTAGAGTCGTCTTCTGTGTTGTTGGAAAAGAGTGTTTGTGATGACCAGCTTGTTCTCTTGACAGAATTCTATTAGCTTTTGCCCTGCTTCATTTTGATCTCCAAGGCCAAACTTGCTAGTTGTTCCTTTTATCTCTTGACTCCCTACTTTAGCATTCTAATCCCCTATAATGAGAAGAACATCCTTCTTTGGTGTCATTTCTAGAAGGTGTTGTAAGTCTTCATAGAATTGGTCAATTTCAGTTTCTTCAGCACCAGTAATTGGTGCATAAACTTATTACTGTGATGTTAAAAGGTCTACCTTGGATTCGTACTGAGATCCTTCTATCATTTTTGAGATTGCATCCCAGTACAGCTTTCGCCACTCTTTTGTTGACTATGAGGGCCACTCGATTTCTTTTACGGGTTTCTTGCCCACAGTAGTAGATATGATGGTTCTCCAAACTGAATTCGCCCATTCCCATCCATTTTAGTTAACTGATGCCCAGGATGTCAATATTTATTCTTGCCATCTCATTTTTTACCACATCCAACTTACCCAGGTTAATGGTTCTTACATTCCAGGTTCCTATGCAATATTTTTGTTTACAGCACTGGACTTTCCTTTCGCTTCCAGGCATATCCGCAACTGAGCGTCCTTTCGGCTTTGGCCCAGCTGCTTCATCAGCTCTGAATCTACTTGTACTTGTCCTCCGCTCTTCCTCAGTAGCATGTTGGATGCCTTCCGACCTGAGGGGCTCATCTTCCAGCATCATAACTTTTATATGCCTGTTGTCTTTGTCCATGGAGGTTTCTTGGCAGGGATACTGGAGTGGCTTGCCGGTTCCTCCTCCAGGTGGATCACATTTGGTCAAAACTCTCCACTATGATCTGTCTATCTTGGGTGCCCTGCTCGGCATAGTTCATAGCTTCTCTGAGTTATTCAAGCCCCTTCGCCACGGCAAGGCAGTGATCCATGAAGGGGAAATATTAACATATGCAAAGTTAGATACAATGTACAGGGTGCTCAGCTCCAATGGGATCTATCCCCCCAAGGGTAAGGTAATCACTGAAGACAGAGAGCAGACAAAGAGATGGCCAGGTTCAGCTAATCTTCTCCCTATCACAAGTCTTTCATCCATTTGTTAGGCAAACAGGATGGCCAGTTTTCAGTCCTTTTCTCAAAGTGAGAAATGGGCAGGAACTCTGGATTTGCTCATCTCAAATCCCATCCCTTCCCTACTAGTAGGCATTAGCAATGAATATTATTAAAACTCCAGATTTTCCAGTAGTTGGCTAGCTCTACTAGCTCCAACTGGACAGCACTTATCCAGCACTCCCCAAGACTCAGCACACTTCTGGTATGCTTTAAGGACACGTATACTCCCACACACACACTTCTAGTCTGGGTTTACGGCAAAATTGTCATGCCCATATTTCTGTACGCCTTTTTAAATGGTTTAAGGGACTCTTTTATTCTTTAATCAAGGTGTGTATGTATTGTAGCATTTGTTACCTGCTTAGATTGTAACTTTGCTGTCTGAAGTAGCATTTATATATATTCCGTTATTTCTATTTCATATAATAAACAAAGCTTTCTTTATTCCTTTCTGTGAGAGCTTTTTCTGGGCATTAGGTAAAGGGTTAACACACATCCATAACAAGCACACACAGTAACTTCAGCAAAAGATCCTTAATCTCTCAGCAGTGGGTATATGGACATACATGAGTATTGGCAGCACACAGCTGAGTCCAGGATCACACTTGTAACAGACTACAATTGCACCCCTGTGTGTAATGTGTAGCTCAGCACACAAGAGACCATGAAGAGAGGCCATCTACCATCTACCTTGTCAATGCTGAGATACGGCTGTTCTCTGATTGCTCTCTGATTGACAGCAGTTGGGAAAATGCAGCCACACAGCTGTTGCAATCCAGTCTCTCCCCACCCAGACAAAATTGTAAACCAGGGGAGGCACCAGGCTAGATGCTCTTGACCCAGTGCTCCTAAAGTCAATCCTCCTGTTGTTCCTGTTGTTGTTTGAGCCCAGCCAGTTTGGCAGGAGGGAGAGAGAATGCAGCAACACTGGGAGAGGCAATAACATTCCTGCTGCAGGAATGTTGCTTGCTGAGCAAGCCTTCATCCTCCTGGCAGCTGTTCTGTTTGCTGCAAGTGGTGAGACAGGGTGAGTAGCAGAGGCCCTGCCCCCAAAATCCCCATTCATCCTTACTCAACATTCATCCTTAACTCATCCTTGTTAGGGATTACCCCTAAGAAGTGTGGTGCCTTCTGGGGCCATGTCCTACATGTCAAGTTCAATGTGTGTACTTCATTGTCACATAAAATAGCACCACACCTTACAAGGAAAAGTGAAAGCATCTAGAGCTTTTTGGTTTTCAAGAGATGACTAATAAGGAAAGTGATAGAAGTTCATGAAATTGTGCCTGGTTTGCTGAAATTGAAGCTATAAGTTCCTTCCTCTTTCATTATTATATTAAAATTTTAAGTGCCTTTAAAGGTAAAGGTAAAGGTAAAGGTACCCCTGCCGTTACGGGCCAGTCTTGCCAGACTCTAGGGTTGTGCGCTCATCTCACTCTATAGGCCGAGAGCCAGCGCTGTCCGCAGACACTTCCGGGTCACGTGGCCAGCGTGACAAGCTGCATCTGGCGAGCCAGCGCAGCACACGGAACGCCGTTTACCTTCCCACTGGTAAGTGGTCCCTATTTATCTACTTGCACCCGGAGGTGCTTTCAAACTGCTCGGTTGGCAGGCGCTGGGACCGAACGACGGGAGCGCACCCCGCCGCGGGGATTCGAACCGCCGACCATGTGATCGGCAAGTCCTAGGCGCTGAGGTTTTACCCACAGCGCCACCCGCGTCCCCTAAAGTGCCCCCTAAAGTGCCTTTAGGGGACCCTTTTTGGGCCATATAATAATAATAATTTATTATTTATACCCTGCCCATCTGGCTGGGTTTCCCCAGCCACTCTTCCAACTCTCCCCAGCCAGCTTCCAACAAAATATTAAAAATACAATAAAACAACAGACACTAAAAACTTCCCTAAACAGGGCTGCATTCACATGTCTTCTAAAAGTCAGATAGTTGTTTATTTCCTTGACATCTGATGGAAGGGCGTTCCAAAGGGTGGTCACCACTACTGAGAAGGCCCTCTGCCTGCTTCCCTGTAACCTCACATCTCACAGCGAGGAAACCGCCAAAGGCCCTCGGAGCTGGACCTCAGTGTCCAGGTTGAATGATGGGGGTGGAGACGCTCCTTCAGGTATACTGGGCCGAGGCCGTTTAGGGCTGAATCCTTATTGGAAGGGATTAAAATGATCCGCATTCGCCAGGCATGCCTAGAGTTGTTCCACAACCACCTGCTCAACCACCTTGCCCAAGAATGGAAGATTTGATACTGGGCGATAGTTGGCTATATTGGCTGGATCCAAAGATGTTTTTTTAAGAAGCAGTTTAATAACCGCCTCTTTCAGTGGGTTTGGGAAGGTTCCCTCACAGAGGGAAGCATTCACCACCTTGCGGAGTGTTGGAGGGGGATTTCCAGCCGGTGGCAGAGGACAGAGTGACTCCAGGAGACATAGGTGTAAAAACCCAAACTAAAACGAAGACTTTATTACAAAACAATAAACAGGTGGGTGTTATTCCTGCAGGCAGGCCACAAAACTCAGCTTTTTCTTTTATAGCAACGGCCAGCTGCAGCCAATTAATCCCAGAAACTTCTTAAAGGTATACACACGTTTCTGTGCCGAATGTCCCCTAACATCCTCTCTCATTCAAACAGAAACAGAAAC